GTTTACCCTCCCTATTCTTGCATTCAATTCTCCTCCCAAAATTTGTTTTTAATTTGCACATGGAATGTGAGCACCACTGGCTTGCCATTTATTGCCTGTCCCTAATTGCTTTTGAGGAGGTGGTGGTGCGCTGCCTTCTTGAACAACTGTAGTCCATGTGCTGTGTAGGTAGAATGAATACAAAAGCCTGGACAATAAAACATACCATTCCATTAACTTCTCCTGATTACTTGCTGTACCCACAAACAAACCTTCTTTGACTCCTGCAGGAGGATTCCTGAATCTCTCTGCATCTGAATTCTGCAACCTCTTGCCATTTAGATAATGTGCATTTTTAAAAATTTGTTTCTGCCAAAATGGACAATTTCACATTTTCCTACAATATACTCCACTTGCCAGATCTTTGCCCGTTCACTTAACGTATGCACAGCTCTTTGTAAGCTGTTTAAGTCCTCTTCACAATTCATGTTCCTTAACGTATCTTTGTGTCATCAGCAAATTTACCTACCACACCTTTGGTGCTTTCATTCAAATCATTTACATAAATTGTAAACCGTTGAGGCCTGAGCACCAACCCCTGTGACACACCACTAGTTATAACCTGCTAGTCTGAAAAAATTTATTTACTCCTGTTCTCTGCATCCTGTTGGCCAGCCATTCATCTGTCCATGTTGAATATATGTTAACACCATCAGTTTTTATTTTCTGCAATAACCCTTGATCTAGCACCTTATCAAATTTGTTTGGAAATCTAATTACAGTAAATCCACTTTTTCCCTTTTATCCAAAGCGCTTTAGAGAAGTCCATTAAATTATCTAAACATGATTTCTCTTTGTCAAAACCACGTTGGCCCTGTCTGATTACTTAAAACTACTTTGCCATGTTATAATGTCTTATATAACAGCTTTTAACGTTTTAACAGGTTCATAGTTCCTTGAAAGTAGCGTCGCAGGTAGATAGGATAGTGAAGGAGGCATTTGATATGCTTGCCTTTATTCGTCAGTGCATTGACTATAGGAGTTGGGAGGTAATGTTGCAGCTGTACAAGACATTGGTTAGGCCGCTTTTGGAATACTGTGTGCAATTCTGGTCTCCCTGCTATAGGAAGGTTGTTGTGAAACTAGAAAGGGTTCAGAAAAGATTTACGAGGATGTTGCCAGGTTTGGGGCGTTTGAGCTACAGGGAGAAGCTGAAGAGGCTGGAGCTATTTTGCCTGGATCATCAGAGGCTGAGGAGTGATCTTATCAAGGTTTACAAAATCATGAGGGGCATGGGTAGGGTTGATAGGCAAGGTCTTTTCCCCGTGTTGGGGGAGTCCAAAACTAGAGAGCTTGAGGTGAGAGGGGAAAGATATAAAAGGGACCTAAGGGGCAACTTTTTCACGCAGAGGGTGGTGAGTATATGGAATAAGCTGCCAGACGAAGTGGTGGAGGCTGGTACAATTACAACATGTAAAAGGCATCCGGATGGTTATATGAATAGGAAAGGTTTAAAGGGATAAGGGCCAAATGCTGGCAAATGGGATTAGATTTATTTAGGATATCTGGTTGGCATGGACGAGTTGGACCAAAGGGTCTGTTTCCATGTAGTATATCTTTAAGACTCTGTTGAGTTACGTTAGTTACAGTCCAATTTAAAGAAACCTTCTCTGAATCTCATGAGTTTTGGAAAATTTAAACCAATGCATCAACTATCTCACTACTTTTGAAATCCACCAGGACCTGGGGACTTGTCAACTTACAGTTCCAACAAGTTATTCATTACTTTAATTTACTTTACTAGTTCCTTGGCAGTTGTAATTTTCTTAAGTTTTCTCCCATTCAATTCTTGATTTACAGCTATTTCCAGGATGCTACTTGTGTGCTTTCTAGTGTGGACCAACATACAATATCTGTCCATTTGTCTGCCATCTCCTCACCATCTATTGCTAGTTCTCCAGGCTCATTTCCTATAGAACTAACACTTGCTTTGTTAACTCTTTTTCTTTTTTAAAAAAATCTGAAGCAACTTTCCTACCTATTATTATAGTTTTGAATAATTTTCTCTCATACTCTAATTTTTCACTCAATATTAATTATTTAGTAAATCTTTGCTCTTGTTTTCATGTTCTGTCCAATATACTGACCTGTTGCCTATCTTTGAAGAATTATATATCTTTTCTTTGAGTTTGATACTGTCTTTGTCTTTTTTAGTTAACCATGCATGGTGGGTCCAACCCTCAGAACTTTTCTCCTTTGTTTAATGTATCTATACTACACCTTCTGAAATTTCCCTTCCAATGTTTGCCACTGCATCTGTATTGACTATTCCTTAACCTAAATTGGCGGTTTGCTTTTGTTAGCTCTGCTTTCATGCCTCCATAATTGTCCTTGTTTAAATCCAAAATAGTCGTCTTGGACCCACATTTCTCTCCCTTAAACAGTATGTCAAATTCAAACATACTATGATTGCTGCTACCCAGCAGTACATTCACTATGAAGTCAGTAATCAATCATATCTTGTTGATGGAAACCCAGTCTAGTATAGCATGCTGTCTGGTTGATGCATAAACATGCTGATTTAAGAAAATGTCCTGAAAATATTTAATTAATTCATCTAGATTACTTTTTGCCATCTGATTTTTTTACCAGTCTTTTTTACATTAAAATCCGCCGTGATAATCACTTCTGACAAGCTTCTATTGTTTCTTCCTTGACACCCTGTCCTGCATGTGTTTATTGTTAGTTTATTTAAAGGCATTTCAATCCATGAGCAGCCAAATTGAAGGTTGACAAGACTGAAAGGGTTAAGCAGCAAATAGAAATAGATAGAAAGGTCAAACAAGTTGTGGAAAAGACAAATAATTGACTCCTGCCTTGAAATGAAGGGGTCTGAATGAAATGATTGCAATTTATTGTCCTTTAAAAGAACTAAAACTTAATGCCCGTTCTAGAGTTAGGATTTCTAGCTAGCAGGATAAGTCTGATCATTTTTCTGGGTCTGAAAATGGTGATCAAATTTAAGGTGTCAGTTGTAGGAATGCCCAAATAAGGTCAATGTTAAACTAATTAATGTTGTTTATTGGGAGCCTGAAAAAAAACCAAACCCAACTAGGCATTGGGTAAGGAACGTGGTATTGTCTGATTTGAAATGAGAACTGGGAAAATTCAAGCAAAGTTTAGTAAATATGGTAACAGCTCCTGAGACTACTTGCAAAACAAGCTGTGGGGCAATTTACTGGAAAATTCCAGGCATGCTGCCGTCAACTTACATCAAGACATGGGAGATTTTCCAAAAAGCTGACTGATGCGCCATTAAGCTCAAAAGATCATTCTCTTGTTTTGACCCTACAGAAAGTAATTTGATTTAATTTTGAGTGACCAAATAGAGAGTATAAATGTAGATGACTTTTTTTAAAGTGCAAAATTCAGATGTGTGGTTCCTGCTTTTCGAGCCCAAAACAGTGCCCACAGTATGCGCGCACAATTTTTGCAGTGAGTTAGGCTGGACATCTTTTGATGAGGATGTTATGCATGTCCACCAGAGGTATACAGAGTAGGCAGATCATAACAATCAGTGTAATGCTGATTACATGCTAATGCCACCATTTTGAAATTCAGTTTTAATCTTACATCACCTCAATTTTAAAAATCTTTAATGGAATGTGTGTGTCACTGATGAGACCAGAATTTGTTTTCTATCCCAGCTGTCCTCATCCTGAGAAACTTACTAGGCCTTTTCGTAAGGTAGTTAAGAGTCAACTATATTACTGTGAACTTGGAGTCATAATTGGGTCAGAACTTCCCTAAAGAACATTAGTGAGCCAAATGCATTTTTACAAGAAGGAATGATTGCCTAATGGTTAGCATTATTAAGACCAGTTTATATTAGAGATATATTAATTGAATTTAAGTTCCACAAGTTACCATGATCAAGTATTCGTCTGGGCCTCTGGACTACTGCTATTTTCAGTGAGACTACCACTTGACAACTGTCTCCATAATCTCTTAATCTCACAGCCTTGATCACTTGTTCAGCAGCAGGGAGGACCTCAATCAGAACCATTCAAAGAAATTATCAACTACTTCCATGTTAGCTTCCGGTTGGTTTATATCAGCTGATGCTACAATTATGCAAGCATTTTGTGGTTTCTAAAGTTGAAAATGTGTATAGGGACTGAGGTGGCAGATGCTGAAGGATTTGTCTCAGCTTCCACACAAACCATTTTGGTCCAGCCATTCCTGATGTAATAGGATCCTCCTTGGAATAAAACATGGCCAGAAGAATTAGCTGAACGAATTTAGGGAAGATGGAGGGGAGAAGGAGCCTTGGCAGGAGATCATAACCACCCAGGGTGCTCTGTAGACAGTTCTTCAACCTACCTAAACCGCAGCAAGGAATAGTGTCTGAAGTTACTTTGCTATAGTAAGGACACTGTTATGTTCCCAGCTGATGTTATTACTGGATAGTTTAGATCTCAGACTGAAACCTAGCTGGTAGATCATATTTTTTGTTTGGCTTTAAGAAAGTGGTCTTTCAGTGAAACACAAGCAAGTAACCCTGCAGATTTGATTTTAATAATAAAACAGTATTTTATTACACAATAAAAGAAGATGAAGTAGAATTAAACATAACACGAAAAGACCAGAGAGGATTCTATTCTCTAACAACAACAAAACATTTCAATGAACCTTATAAAGCGAAGCTTCTCATATTATTTATAAAGGTCAACTAATCGCATTGCTCATTGTGCCTTGCTTATTCTATGCACTTTTAATAAATTCTGCTTCTGGGACTTTTGGTTCCAGAAATCTATTTGTGGCTTTACAGTTTTGGGGTGGGATTTAGATGGTATCAGCTTTTAATCTTTACTGTCTAATTATGTTAAAAAGATGTTTTATTCTGTTATTGAAACTGTACCCTTCTTAAACTGGCTGTCTTCCTGAAAGCATGATAAGGAAATTAAAGGAATTATTTAAGAAATAACTCATCATACTGTTTTTGACTCTATGTATTTCAGATGTAAATAACAGCAGTGCCGTCCAAGCCATGCTACACCAGACACTCTACTTTCCTGACCAAATTTTGGGACATGCCAACAAGGAGGATAAGCTGCACAGACCATGTTAGTTAGGACTGTCTGTTCAATCTTAAACTATTGAGGGGAAAAATGGCAATGAATGCAAGTTTGTATTAACTACATTGGTAAACCAGCAGGACTAGCTTCTCATTCCTCCATGTCGCAATCCTGAGACCTATGGATAAACAGTTAAGGACAATTTTAACCAAAGGAGAAGCATGTTATGGTTATGCAACAAGTAAATAAAACTGAATTCTACATGGGACTTAAGAGTAATCTATATCAATACTTGCAGAGGAATAGCAGCCCGAACTAATGTTTCTCTTGTTATAAATAGATTCATAAAAGTGAATAACATGTTTTATTGTTTTCTTTCCCAATTTAAAACATCTGAGTGCCATGAATTGTGTATGTCCTAGCAGAGAGTATGTGACAGGAGAAAGAAACAAGGCTTGCAACGCAGTTTTAATGAGCCACAAAGCCTTAAGGTGCTCTGTGAAATGTAATGCTCTGTTTCCAAGTCTTGACCTTGATCAGATATTGCCAACTGTTGGAATCTTCCAAAAGACAACTTCGATGTTCATCATCCAAAATAAAGACGGTGGGTGAGTTCCTGAGCTGGAAGGCCCAGGGCACTGGACAAAGGATTGGCCCATAACAGAGGTATTAACTGCCAAGACCAACAGTGGAACCCAATGGCCTCTAAAATGAAGGTGCCTTCAGAAACCGAATTAGTGTTTGAAAATTCAGAATTCCTGCAACCTATAGAACTGTGGAAGGGAAAACCCCTTTTACAGGAAAGGTTGTGAATGAAACTGTATCTTTACACTTCTGTATGTTCATGTAACCATTGACAGAGGTTGATTGCTGCCAGCCTCCCAACCGAATAGGGGAGTTAGTCTGACATCAGAAAGATCCTGGCAATTTCGTTAATTTGCCTCCATTAATCTAATTGTTGTGTTGACACCACCTCCAGCAATAATGCTTGGAGGCAGGAACTCTAGAGAACCCAGTTGATGCTTAAGTTTCCAATTTTGCTTCCAGTTCCATCTCTTTGTGATTGTGAAGTTTCTGATCTAAGGATTGTTAAATGAATGTCCAGACCAAGATAGCTTAAGCAAAAAATGGAGTGCAAAGGAGAGTAAGTTGTAGATCTAACACTTAAGATGTCAAGTTACTCTAGAGTAACAAGATATGAAGGGAACAATATACTTAACTCTATTCATTGATCAATTTATCATCAAACACTACATAACTTGCTATAACCTCAATACCCTTGTATGCCATGTTCAGTTTTGGTTACCAAGGCATTTTTGAAGAAATATATCAAATCATAGAGACTCTGACAGTTCAGAAAAGACCCACAATGTTGTTTCACATGAAGAGAAATGATTTATGCTGCAAAACCACAGGAAATTGTACAATTTATCCTGAGAACATACAAACATGCGAAATAGCAGAAGTCAACCATTTGGCCCCTTGAGTCTGCTCATTCAATTAATAAGATATCTTGGTTCCTGAAAAGGTGACCCTAATTTTTCCAAGGTGCCTCCCCGGACTGACCCACAAGAAGAACCATCCTTTCCCCGTCCACCTTATCAAGACCATTTAAAATCTTTTCCACTAATCAAGTTGCCCTTGCTCATCTAAATTTCACACGTTATACCTTCAAAGAACTCCAACAAATTAGTTAAACGTGATTTTTGTTTTGACAAAACCATGCTAACTTTTCCCAATTACTTTATTTTCACAGTTGTACAGCTGTAATCTCTTTAATGATCGATTCTAACACCTTCCCAGGGCAGACGTCAAGCTAACTGACCTATAGTTCCATGCCTCCCTTCCTTTTTGAATAGATGGGTTATATTTACCACTTCCCAGTCCAATGGAATCTTTCCTGAATCCTGAATCTAGGAAAATTAACACCAGTCCATCTATTATCTCATTAGCAATCTTTCTTTTAAGAGCTTAGGATGAAGTTATCTGTTGACCTCATTAGCACATAAGGAACCTTTGCCCTTTTACCAAAAACAAGAGGGTTCCACTCGTCCTTACATTCAACTCCACCAGCCTCTGCATTCAAAGGGTTATCCTCCATCATTTCTTCCACCTCCAGCAGGATGCCACCACCAGACATAGCTTCCCTCCACTGTCAGTATTCCACAGGGATGATGCCCTCCGTGACCCCTTCGTCCTTTCCTCCATCTCTCCAAATACTAACTCATCCCCCATGGCACCTTGCCATGAAATCGCACAAAGTGTAACACTTAGCCATTCCCCTCCTTCCTTCTCATAGTCCAAGGCCTCAAACATACCTTTCAGATGAAGCAGCGCTTCGCTTTTACCTATTTAAATTCAGTCTACTGCAGTCGCTGCTCACAATGTGATCTCTTTTACTTTGGCTTTTTAGAATAGCTCTGTTCTGTCTGTAGGAATGACCCTGATCTCCAAGTTGCTTGTCATTTCAAAAAAACCACTTTACCCTTATGCTGATAAGCACAATGCAAACTCAAAAAACAGCATCTCATTTTCCATTTAGGTATTCTACAGTGTTGAATTCAATAACTTCAGAAATTGAGTGCATTATATTTGTCCTCTATTTTTCTTACATTCTGTGGCCCCCTACCTCAGTTTCCCCCACAACTGTGTCGTGTAGGTCTTGTTCATTTTGCACTCGATAGAAAGAACCAATTCTCTCCCTTTAACACCTTAATTATCATAGAATCATAGAACCCCTACAGTGTGGAAACAGGCCCTTCGGCCCAACAAGTCCACACCACCCCTCTGAAGAGCATCCCACCAGACCCATTCCCCAAGACTAACCCACCTAACCTAAACATCCCTAGACACTATGGGCAATTTAGCACAGCCAATCCACCTACCCTGCACATCTTTGGACTGTGGGAGGAAACCGGAGCACCCGGAGGAAATCCACGCAGACACGGGGAGAACATGCAAGCTCCACACAGACAGTCGTCCAAAGGCTGGAATTGAACCTGGGTCCCTGGTGCTGTGAGGTAGCAGTGCTGACCACTGAGCCACTGTGCCGCCAATTTACATGCATTTCTCATCTTTTTTTCTTCCTTTCTCCACCATTAACAACCTATTTGTCTTTTGCAGTGGGCCACTATACCATTTGCCCTCTTGCTCCTCCTCTACCTCTATTAAAAAGTATTAAAAAGAACCTATTTTCCAACACCTTTCAGTTCTGAAGAAGAGTCATACCAAACTCAAATCATTAACTTTGGTATCTTCCTCCACAGATGCTGCCAAACCTGCTGAGTTTCTCCAGCAGTCTCTTTGTTTAGTTTTGTCTCTTTGTTATTTTTGTAGCATCTAGTCTCAATAGTTGATGCATTCCTAGATTTTTTTTCTCTGTCCCTTCCTGAAATTTTAAAGTATGCTGGAATAATAGAACAAAGCAGCGCAAGTTAGAATTGGTGCAACAAGATTTTGGAATAGAAGACAGACAAAAACAACTTTACATGCAAAGACCAATCAAGATTGAGTGGATAGTGGAGATGAGAATTCATTCAAGAGACAAGTTACGTTAGGAAAGGAATATACATTTTTCTTTTTTGCCATGGATGAGCTAAGATGAGCTAAACTTTTCAGTATTCTGCCATTGTAATACATCCCCAACTTATTTTCAGTCTTACCTGATCTTGTTACAGTATGAATAGATCCTTTGGAGAACAATCAAATATTGAAAGTAGTATTTGAGAATATGCAGAGTGCAGAATTTCCATTAGCGAACAAATGGAATGATGTCTGCAGGGGAGAAAAGTTATTAGAAAATAGGAACATGAGTAGGCCATTCAGCCCTTTGAGCCTGCTCCACCATTCAGTCTGATCATGGCTGATCATCCACCACAGTACCCTTTCTTCCCATATCCTTTGATCCTTTTATCCTTAAGAACTCCATATATAACATCTTCTTTAGGACGTTCAATGATTTAGCCTCACCTGCTTTCTGTGGTAGAGAATTCCATAGGCTCACCACTCTCTGGGTGAAGAAATTTCTCCTCATCTCAGCCCTAAATGGCCTAACTCCTATCCTTAAAATTGATTCCTGGTTCTGGATTCCTTGTCATCAGGAACATCCTGTATCTACTCTGTTTAGTCCTGTTAGAATTCTGTAGGTTTCTATGAGATTCGATGAGAAGTAAGGCCTGCTAGAAAAAGATGGTTTATCTTAAGATGGATGATTTTTCCAAATGTGGACTGGGGAGAAAACCATCACTTGAAGTATATATAGAGAAAACTGGCCTTAGAGGTAACCTTAACCCTAACACACACAATTCCTGGACAAGTTAGTCAGGTGAATCTCAATCCAAACATTCTCAAACTAAAATAGCCCCAGTTTCTCCAAACAGATCAGTTATGATCCTATCAAATGGCAAAGTAGGCCTCCTCTGCTGCTAATTTGTATGTTTATATAAAATAGTGAAGGAAATGAAAATGTTAATCTGTAATGTTACATAAGATAAAATTTAAAGAATGGGTCAAATTGAAACCTGTATTTGGTAAATTTAAAGTGATATGAGGACATACCTCATACAATGAGTAATCAATGCTTTATTCAAGTTCACTTTCTGGTCAAGTAAAATAGTAAAAAAAAGTAGATGCAGGTACAGTTACATTTAAAGGACATTTGGACAGGTACATGTATAGGAAAGGTTTAGAGGTTTGTAAATACCTCTCATGCTTACTTAACCAAGATAGTTTTGTTAGACAACAGAGTTTTACACTACACTAGGTATAATACATGAATGGGACCTGAGTATATCTGACATCCAACCTCTCCATGAACCTAAATGGCATAGAGAGCACATCTTTTCATTATTCTTCATTTTGGATCGTAAATGAAAATGAGGATAGGATACTGCTTTAAACCAAGGGCTGTGGAAGGAGTTTCTGCACGTTAAAAACGAGTCACTGGATCTCATTGTAAATTGTGTTTGCATTGTTACTTTATTTAAGTGGTGGGAGAAGGGGTCCAAGGCACTACGGTGTGTGCGAAGCAAGACTTGTCCAAGTCCCGATTGCTGAATATTTTGTGCAATTGAGACGAGTCATGGAAGCCAGGAATCATCAGCATGACGACTGTCTCCGGACAGGTGGACAGAAAGTGTATAAGGAATTAGAAAAGGGAGTAACCTCCAGACTGCAACAGGGAATATGTTTTTTTTCTCCATCACACTCTGCATTGAAGTAATCAAACAAGGAATATAGCTAACTACTTTGTCCTACCAGTTGCTATAAGTTGTTGCCTTGAACCAGTAATTAAAAGACAGAACAGATGGTGTGCGAATTACCTTATGTCTGCAGCAAAGAACTGAAAGAACTTGGAAAGAAGCTGCTTGGAAATCAAAAGGACTTCTTTTATTCACTTGTGGGAAATGGGTATCACTGCCTGGGTCAACATTTATTGCCTGTCCCTAGTTGCCCTTGAGAAGGTGGTGGTGAGCTGCCTTCTTGAACTGCTGCAGTCATGTGATATAGGGAGATCCACTATGATGTGTTTGTGAGGGAATTCTAGGATTTTGATCAACTGACACTGAAGAAATGGAGACATGTTTCCAAGTGTCTACAAAAGCAGGTTAGAAGCTAAGAATAATACAGCAAATAACTCACTTCCTGATTCTCAAAGCCTGCCCTAAAAGGCTCAAGTGGGGAGTGTGTTAGAATATACCCCAAGTCCCTGGATAGGTGCAGCTCCAACAACACTCAAAAAGCTTGACATCATCCTGCTTTATTGGCGCCATGGAGTCCGTCATACAGCACGGAAACAGACTCTTTGGTTCACTCGTACATTTACCAAATAGAGGTTTCAATTTGACCTATTCTTTAAATTTTATTTTATGTATTTATTATTTTATACAAACATACAAATTGGATGAGAAGATCTGCTGCACCAGTAGATAAGATGGAAACATAATGAAGTTTGTTGGACAAGTTATCGCCATTTTAAACAATATATAGCAAGTTCTGTAATTAAGGTCAGTATTGCTACATTTTAAGAACAGCTTCAGAGTGTTGTCGTATCATTTTATTGTGCTCCCTGGAACACTTGGCATTTGAGAGTTGTTTAAAAAAAAATTTGGTAGGGGAAATGTTTTTCACCATTCAGACACAGTATCTTGTTCATTGTAGTTAGTTTTGCAGGAATGTTTGTACATATGGCTTCATGAACGATGTTAACATTTTTTTGATAGTCCTTCCATAGAATGCAGTCATGGCTTTGCTGATGGAACTTCTCTAGTGTGTTTATGTATCGCTGATACAGAGTCCAGGTCTCGCTCTAATACAGGAACACGGAGATGAAAACTGCTCTGGACTCGAGGCCTTCTGCTGACTTGGGGATGTCTTTGTTGTCAACTAATTTGCTGGCGTAGTTTATAGAATGCTGAGCTTGCACAGTTAATACAGTGTTTGGCCTCCTTGTTAATGATGGTCTTGTGAGATAGTTGGCTGCCAATATATGGGAAATGCTGAACATATTCAAAAATCTCTCCTTCAACATATGGAGGTGAAATATTCAGCTGACTAGGACTGTTTTGATATATTGTTTTGCCAACATTCAGGGACAAATCTCTTGTATGCAGAATTAAAAATTGTATGCAGAATTAAAAATTTTGTGAGTGGCTTGTAAATCTGGCGCAGAGTTGGCAATATGCAGTCATTGGCATAATGTTGTTTATTTATATCTATGGAAATATAGAAGATACAAGCAGGAGTAGGCCATTCAGCTTTTGAACCTACTTCTCCATTCAGTTTGATCAGGCAATGTGGTGGTCAGCTTAGGTTTGGCAAGGAGCCATCTCGGGTTAGAGTTTCAATCTAACCAACATTTAATACTCACACCAGAGGACAAATTATATTTTTTGAGGTGAACAACCACAGTCAGTTAGATTGAAAATAGTATGGAGGCTGTCATGTAGTACTGTTTGACACTGGTCCTAGATTTTGAAGGTGTCTGTTTCAGAACTGCCACTCAAGACAGTTGCAGTCATAACATCATATTGCAGGATTGTGATGAAGTTCCTTGAACATCCAAAAATCTCTGGAGGACAATCCACACAGCTTCACAATTTATTGAATCGGTTGCTTTTGAGTCTTTAACCCTATTACCAAAAAAAAAGTCAAGTTTTGAAAACATTGCATATATACTTATATTTTCTGACATTTATAGATTTTAGTTTTGTGGTAATTTTTCTATTCTGTATTCTTTTATTCGGAACATCAAACTCTGACAGGATGTAGTCTTCAAGTTTTGACAATCTCCCATCCATCTTGTAAGTCTGTTTCTACTTTTTGTTTTGCTGTACCATAGGCCATAATTTTCAGCTGTTTCACTGATCCATTTTGAATTTTTTTTCTAATGAAGTCTTTCCATGAATAAATATTGTGGCTTTATTTTGTTGATCAATGAACACTCTGCCACATTCAGATTCATAAATAATTACTTAATACTGGACCATGTGGAAGTTTACTTTCTGACAAAAATAGAATTTTTTGTATTCATTTTGAAATGATCAAAAAAATCAATAACGATTTTCATTTCTGTGTTAATATCCAAAGTAATTGTGCAGAAGTGTTCTTGGATGAAAATTATTTGTTCTTAGTCTGATTATGCCCTTAAATGAAAGAGCTGTTTCTAGAAAACTCCATGATTGAGTATAGAGCTCCCTCCCAGCCTCCAGCTGCACACATCTTATTCATATGAGCATGAAGAACAGTTGATCAGAACAAAAATTCAGAATACAGCATGTGCTTCCATCTATCTTTTTCAGGAATCAAAAATAGTGTGCTGTCACTGAGGAGATTTGTTACAGAGATCTTTCCTTTTTCTTTTCAGACCCTGCCCTTTCTCCATACTTCGATCTTTTTAGTTAAAAGCTCTGAACTCTTTGACATTAGAAATGCTATAAAAAGGTATCACACTGCTGCATTAAAAATATCAGAAGTAACTTATTGGTATGATTATGATGATAATTAGTGTTGCAATTAGCAATTCATTTCAGCAAACAATTTAAACCTGTAAACAATGAGGGAAAAAGCAGAGCATAAATCAAAATTCGGGCTATAATATTGCTGTTTATGTGTGTAGGATTGTCAGCCTCGGCCATCAAAAATGCCAGAGCATACAAGAAAATTAAAGCTTGGTTAGTGGGGGTAGGGTCAGTGCCCTATGGCAAAACTTTTCTAAAAATATGTTTTGTCTGTATCTGGATTACTCCAACTCATTCTTTTCCAGGCGTTCAACATAGTAGAAATTCTTATCCTACTATCATAATAATGCATATTTTACAATATTGAAACCAAAAGTACCCCTGCTTCATGCCGTCTTGGCTTAATGTGGAAGATGCTGTTAGTTGGTCTCATCACAATGGCATCAAAGTTCTTTTTGTCTGTCCACTGCTGTCTGATCTGCCGAATGTTTCCGGCATTTTCTTTTTTTTAATTTGCAGCAAATAGTGTTTGGAACCAGGTTGATCTTGTTGACTATAAGATCCTTGATTAGCGTTGTTAACCTGGGCCAATCAGGAAGCCCTGGCTGACCAAGATAAACAGGGGATTCAGAATCTCCTCAGTTCAGGGACTGACTCTGAGCTGGCTGGCCACAGTTAGTGTATTGTACACATGTAAATAAGGGGTGACTTGATGACGGGATACCGTCCTCTGTGCAGTTATTTCACCACAATATTTCACTTTTCTCTTGCCAATATAGATGTTGATTTGGAGTTATCTACAATATGGTGTTACAAGATCGTCCATGAGAAGGGCAGCATCAGGTAATTAATTTATCCTTATGATTCAGATCACTGCAAGTAAAACTTTTCAGCTCAATCAGCAAATCTGCTGCCATGTAAACAAACAATTATTTTAACATGTTGACTGTTAACAGGATCATTCTATTGTTCAATGGCTCAATCAATAAAAAGTGTCCAGTTTGGGACTGAGTCAAATATCACTAATGTTTCAAGTTCAATTTCACTTTTTGAAAGTTTTTTTTTGCGTGTCAGACTCACTTTCAGTTTGTGCTGAGGTAGTTGAATGCAGCTGAGGGAGGACTGTAAGTCTGAAATTGGCCTCAATGTGCTAAAAATTACCTTTATCCATTTTATATTACCCATTTTACATCTATAAGATGAATAAAGGTCTTCACAAGCAATCTTATTTCAATATCTTGAAGTGGGAATCTCAGTGATTTGTTTATGCATTTCTAAATATTAAAGTTGATAAAAGCCATCTTCTGTACCCGCCAGAGTTACAGCTGAGGTTTACAATTCTAGAATAACTGATGATGAATGTAGTAGAAAGTGAATATAATTAGTTTTAGTGCAGGGTCTTTGTGTTTTAAAAAAATTTAAAATTAGGAATTATGTCCTGACAGTTGTGAACAGATTACAGATGCATTTGGTAGCAGCCTTTTTAAAATGTGCCCTGAGATCACTAAATCCCAGCCCTAGGACTGTTTGGAAGGGCATGTTGAAGGAACTTCAGTGAATTACTGCAATCATTCTTGAATTTGGTGCACATTGCTACCACTGTGCATTGGTAGTAGTGGGAGTGAATATCTAACACAATGAGGGAAATGCCAATCAGGCAGATGGCTTTGATTTTGAATGATATTGAGCTTGAGGTTGTAGACATGCTCACCGAGCCGGTGGGTTTCGTTGCAAACATTTTGTCACTCTGCTAGGTAACGTGGTCATTGCGCCTCCGGTGAAACGTCAGTGTTCTGTCCCACTTGTTATTTATATGTCTCGGTTTGCTGGGGGTGTTGGTATGACTTCTGGTTTTGTTTCTCAGTGGTTTGTACACAGGGTGTAGTTCAATGTGTTGGTTGATGGTGTTCCGGTTGGAATACCAGGTCTACGGGAATTCCCTGGCGTGTCTCCATTCGGCTTGTGCGATTATCGATGTGTTATCCCAGTCAAATTCATGTCCCTTGTTGTCCATGTGTAGTCAGACGAGTGAGAATTGGTCTTCCCCAGCCCATCCTCTCCTCTCTATTTCTGAGCTCCCTTCCCCTTTGCCATTTCTTGAAGAAGGTCCTGACCGGCAGCGTCGGCTTTCCTATTCCTCTGCTGCCGCCTGGCCTGCTGTGTTCCTCCAGCTCCACGCTTTGTTACCTCTGACTCCAGCAACTGCAGTTCTTGCTATCTCAGAGAATTGGCCATGTCTTTTGGTGGCTAGTTGGTGTTCATGTATCCGTATAGTCCTCAGAAATTGCAGCATGACATCATTCCTTGCACCCTGCACAAGTGCAGGTACTCTTGCATTTCTGGAGATGTTTTGGTCTGTAGAATCAGGATGATAAGCTAGTTAGCATATCACAAAGGCACTTGAGTAACTGGTGGAAGCTGAGACAACTGAGGCTGGACGATGGACGGAAAGCCAAGCTTCAACAAGCCAATTGCTGTCACTGCAGCAGGACATGAGGAACATTTGGTGGCGCTTTCAGAGTCCCACCAACTTGATGTCAAAAATCAATCCTCCTTGTTCCTGCTATTGGTAAAATCTGAATTGATATTACTGTGTCTTCATTCCAGCCAAACAAGATCCACTCTCATTTTACAGCTGGTCACTTCCCATACCCCTAGAACTCATAGCTACACCAATATTACCACTGTGGTATAGATACACTTCTGAATTAGTTTTGAATACGCAGTAATTTCAATGAATGAATTGTTGAAACTGCAATTTTTTTTTTTACAAGTTATCAGACCACGAGTTAACAAATTCTTGTTTCGGGGAAGCCTGTGATTTAGGAATCCAATTATCCTTCCAGCCAAATGCATTTGAATTCAGTGCCCTAATGCCGGAGATAACAGACTTCTCTCCATCAATCGTGGTCTTTTCTTGCCTTGCTCTCCTTTATTTGCCTTCTCTATTTATAATAATTTAATCACCTCTAACACACACACAAGCTGATAGTCATTCCTCTTTTGTATATTACTCATTCATAGCCATTCAATGTGTTTAAAAGTTTCAATGCTGCTGGTTCTGGCTGAAGCATTTGCACAATGACAACTGACCTCTATGCTGTTAAAATGTCTTCTAAGTCTTAAAAGTCAATGATAGATCTTTCTAAATTGATTTTCCTGCACTTGGGGCTATTGGATCATTTGAGTGATTACAGTAAGGGTGGAAGCAATGCCAGTGGAGCCCACCAATATTTTGATTTTTTTAAAAAAATTAATGGATTATGGATACCTTTATATGCATGTGCTCTATTTTCTTCAATCAGTGCCACATGTGATCCATCAGTTCTATGCACAAAGACAGGAAAATCTGCCCCAGGTAAAGGAGGATGCCGTAATATGGTACAGGATCTCAAGACCTGGGCCTGCGATTGGCTCCATACTGAATACTCAGTACTTCAAGGGGACAAGGAGAAAGTATTAATGAGTCAGTCTGGTCTTTGCTTCTAAGTGACTGATAACTGAGCAGCATTGGCAGAGATTCAGCTGCATCTTACTGGGAGAAAACGTTAATAATTGCAAGCTTGTGTTCAGTGAAAGTCACTGAATATTAACTGCAACCTTCTTGGTGACCTGAACAAAAATGTAGCAAAAAAACAATGAAAAACATGATTCTATCTGCTCACCAGAATGTATGGCAATAAAAAGACAACTGTTCAGGTCATTGAAGCCCAAAAACACTGCTGACTGAGCTAGCCCCATCTGTTCATGTATTGCTGCTTGTAGATACAGCAAAGATTTCACTGGACCCAATCAAAACCCATACTTTTGGTAGCTATATTTGGATATTACATTGTGCATAGCCATGGCTGCAGTTAGCAACTAATGTTTCTACAGATATCACCAAATCCAATGCTCCCTCCCACAGTTCTGGGACTTGAGCTCTAACAATCTGCATAATTTTGGGATTGCTGATAATGCCAGTATGAAACTGAGTAATGCTTTGCATCTCTCCAGTTGATCTGCCTGTTGTTGAAATGATGCTGACCAAATCTGAATTGTATGCTTTTCTGCCTAATGTATCTGATTTTATTTTATGCACCATACAATCTACCCTGTGTTGTGAAATCCCAAGAGCAATCTGGAGTGAATTACTTTCTGCATATGCTGATGGATTTATTTCAATTGAGAATTAGAAGCGCAGTTACACTCTACTGTTTTACAACACCAGTTTATTGTGACTAATAAAGGGCACACTAGAATAACAAGGTAACATACAATACTGTCAAGAAGACATTGATCAACAAACATTATTAGCTGATGCGTGCTTACTGCTGGAACGTCTGCCCTGGAATAATGCAATGTTGTAGTGGAGTGCTCATAACATTGATCTTGTATAGTATTGCAAAATGAAACAAACCACTCAAAGCATTTTCAAAAAGGATGTGATATCTCCAAAATCAAGTGGCAAGAATGTCTTGACTTTACACAATTTGATTTTGATTTTTCTAAATTCAATACTTACTATTATAAACCAATTTAATGAGTGACAAATAGTTCGGACTTGATCGCCAACTCACACCCCAAAATTAAATTCTGATCTTTTGCTTTGCTGTCCAATCTTTATTGTATAAAAGAAGCAAAGACTTTAAAGGAAATGGGGAAACATTTTCTTATTGTTTGCAGAAAAGTTGTCCATTTCAGGCACAGAAGTCACAAGGAAGTTGTCATTGTTTTGACGATTGGAGCGGCAGCTCATTAAGATTTAAGAGCTACATGTAATACAGAAATTTGTGTTTCACTTTGAAAACACGTGGAAACTCTGTACTATGTATAGGGAACGTGACAAGCTTAAACTTAAATTAGTTTCTCAGGTGAACAATTTAGAAATATTGTATATAAAAGTGTTCATGCTATGAAGGGGTGTATATATAAGCTATTTATCTGTATTACTAACATTTTTTTTTGAGTGTGTTAAGTTTCACATGCTGTATTGATAAATGTTAATAACCTTTTAAATTCTAATTTCAATAATAGAAATCCAAGTTTCCACCAAAACGCTACTGTACATGGTGTTAGGACTCAGGTCTGTAACATACCCTACTTTCCCACTTTAACTTCTTGCATGGGGGCATCAGGCGTTAATCTCAAGTCAATACTGGACAATTTATTCACAGAAAGGGAGTGAAATCACCCAGAGGTTAATCAGTTGCACAGCTCCTAACAGCTGCATTAACCATACCAGGCTTCAACATCATGTTGCCAAAGGAGATGAGAACAGGGACAAAAGGAAATAAAAATACAGATTTTTAAAAAATTATTATACATTGTTTGGTAATGGCTCTGTGTAGAAGGGAGCACAGTCTCCTTATTGATGGTTGCCGACTTCTGAAATGTTCAAAAAATACGAAGGTAAGAATATTTTCTATTTTTTTTTTTCATTTGGATGAACTGATAGTGTTGAACTGAAATATTTGTTGGCTGAGGTTCAATATTCCCACGTTGTTCTGAAGTCAAAGTGATCGATTTAAAGAATGTAAGGTAATGGATTTTTTTCACACAATGGGTGTAAATGGGAGAGGGCTATGTCTGTTGGAGTACAGATTAGTTACTAGTAAAAGATTTTAGTCAGGAAAATAAATGGGGCCAAGTTTGATGTGCTGGAATTCTAAATAATGAGAGTGAAATAAAAGAAAAATTCAGTTCACAGGAGTTGCATATAATAGCAGTGAATGGGCAATGATTTATTTGATGGAGTTTTATTTACATGAAACTGGCTGCAGTTTAAGGTGACAGAAACAGAAAGCTTCCATCCATCTGTTGGTTGTTGATCTGAGGGAAGAACTTCTTGACTGCTGAACTGAATCACGTTCAGATGCTGGAAACTGCTTACAACATCTCTCAAGGTTTTTGACAGGCTGCAGATGCTGCAGTACTTACTTTAGAAATTGTGTTGCACCTGAGCATTGGATTTCTTTGTTTTAAGTAGAAAATGTTAGAGAAGTCCTTTTCTATATACTTTCTTAATTGAGGCAAATCTGCATTGTATAGAAATATCAGTGTCATTCAAAAATATATTCACATTTGTCATTGATCATTTCTATTACAGTAAGAACTGCTATCAGGAACTTTCTGCTCACTGTTACTTCAACATTTCTGAATTTTATCAGATTGATTACTCCTCAAAAAAACCAGGTAGGCTGTTGTACATTTTGGTACAAAGAGCACAATTAGACTGGACAACCAAAAACAGCCATAAGAGGAAATAACTGTTCCAGTGATTTACTGTTATAGTTTATTTTTCTTAATTGCCCATTGCTGAAGCTATTTGATAAGAAGCAAAAAAAGTTACTTTTTCATGCCACAGTACACAAGGCTCAGAGCAGCAAAACAGACAACAAAATGAACAAGTCTTGTATTCCCAATACTATTTTGAAACCTGACACTGGCAAATCTTTTGGTGATTTGAGAGGATGATGGCAGGAAAGGAGAGGCAATTTATACAATTGTCCTTTCCTTATCTCAGCTAGCATTTCTGCTGCAGTGAGACAAGCCAAAGATTACAGCAGACACAAGGGGTCGAAAAAAGAAAGAGACCAAGAAACCTCATGTTGTCAATCTTTCATATGAGCTTCTTTTGTTCAAAACACTAGATTCTAGTTTGTTTTTCATTCTTTTTCTACCTCTTCATCATTCTCCTCCTCCTCTGACTCATTTAGGAATGGTAGTTGAGTTTCTGCTTTTCCCAGCAGCAGTGTTCCTCTGTCCAAGTCAATCACACACTGTGGGTAAGAAATTACATTTTTTTCACTTAATGTAATAAATATAGTGAAAATAATTGATCTGTTGGTTTTACTCCTAGTAATGTTGAGGAAACTGCATTGTTCACCAACTTTCATATAATAAATATACCCTTAGGCACGTCACAAAGGTAAAAATGTTTTCTTACCATCGCTCAAATAGAAAAGGCAACTGCAAGCTTGATGAAAGTTTAATTTTGAAGAGGCCGTTGAGAAAGGAGAAAGATGGGATGGTTTATGGAGCCTATTCATCAGGACTGGAAAAGTGGAGGGTACATAAATATCTAGTGAGCTTGCAATGTTTAGGGAACTGAAACTGCTAATAAGGATAAATGTTTTCGGGATGAGCAAGAAGTCAATGTACGTTAGGTAGGACAGTGTTGGGGGGCACATAGTTTGACAGGTTGCAGCTGGCAGGAATTTAAACCTGGAGATTGTATTGTAATTTAGCTTGATTCTTGCCTCTGAGTACATTGTGGGTTCAAATCTCTCAATATTCTGGAGACTGAACTGCATGTTGAAAATCTTTCTTTCATGTGAAATGTCAAATCACAGCCCTAATATCTGTCTAGATTGTCAGAAAATAACCATGGCACTGGAAAATTAGATTGTTTCGATCATACAAACCAACAGTGCTCCCTCAAATAAAACCAGCTAAAGCACATAAAATCATGTGAGGCAGAGATAAGGTGAATAGCAAAGGTCTTTTCCCTAGGGTAGGGGAATTCAAACCTAGAGAACATAGATTTAAGACGAGAGGGGAAAGATTTAAAAGGGACCTGAGGGGAAACCTTTTCACGTAGAGAGTGGTGTGTGTGTATATGAAACAAACTGCCAGAGGAAGTGGTAGAGGTGGGTGCAGTTACAACATTTAACAGGTACATGAATAGGAAGAGTTTAGAGGGATATGGGCCAAACGCAGGCACATGAGACTAGTTTAGTTTGGGAAACCTGGTCGGCATGGATGAGGTGGACTAAAGGGTCTGTTTCTATGCTGTATGACTGAGTTATTTAAAAGCAAAATGCTGAAGATGCTGGAAATCTAAAATAAATATAGAAATTGCAGCATCTGTGGTGAGAGAAACAGTTGAGTCTAATGACAGTCAGAGATAGTAAGAACTGCAGATGCTGGAGTCAGAGACAACACAGTGTGGGAGCTGGAGGAACACAGCGGGCCAGGCAGCATCAGAGGAGCAGAGAGAAATGGGCAAGTAGAGAATCAGATGGAATTAGAGGGGGGGGGGGGGGGGGCGTTGGGGAAAGTGATAGTGGAGATTGATTGGCTGCACCAGCATAAAGTGACAGTTATCAGTAAAGTTTGACAAAAATAGATGTTTAGACATTGCCAAAATACTGAAATGGGAGGCACTGCTATTGTGGAAGATAATCTACTTGTACTCTACTGGTGACTGTGAGACAGGCAGGAGTAAAACTGTTAAAGAATGGTGCAGTAGGGGAGGAACATGGAGTAAGGAAGGTTTACGTGATTGACTGTAATTCTTCTTTGCATATTTTCTTTTTTTCTCTTTGGTCAACAATGACGAAGTGGTGAAAGGATTTGCAGGCTCATTATCAGCCCGTTGAACTGCGTCATGAACATTCCTTCCATTGCCAACAAATTTTAGTGGGGACTTGAAACTAGATCTTCTGACCCAGAGGTTGAGTCACAAGAGGGACTGTTGGAAATAAAAATAGAGACAGTCAGAGACATATTACTCACTTTGAGAGATAGCAGTGTCTGCAGACCAAGGGACAGCTCACAAGCGTCATTCTCTGCAAAACAAATGCACAGCATTGGAAAGTACAAATTTAGATAATTTAATAACTGCTTTTTCAGGTTATTACTGAACAAGGAAACATAAAAGGTGAAATATTCTTTCATCTTTTAACCAACCATGATGATCTTCAAATTCATCACTAACTGCCATGAATCTGGAACATATTTTCTGGAAGATCACAGGGACAAAAATGTTTCTCATTACAGAATGGGGTTGTACAGCGTTATATGACAGTTTTGTGTTTAAAAGAATGGAAAATTGAGTTTTAATGTTATATTTTAGAACAATGAGTGCCAACTCTTCTCCTAAAACTACAACTGTGGTGGATGAAATCTGAGCATGATCTTCCCCTGAGGTAGCTTGTGTACAATCTGATGACCAATTATTGTTGGCAGAGGTTCACCACCTATCGTATATAGATACCAGGGTATGCTGTATGGAGAAATGAGATGCAAAAGTAAATCTCTTACATCTGTGCCAAAATAAGTAAGGTTGAAAATGGTACACTTCAGACGGCTTTCATCAATGTTGAACAAATAATTTACAATGCCTCCATGTCTTTTTACTCCTCGTTCAGCTATAATTTTACTTATAGTTATGGCTCTATTCTGTTCACTAAGAAGTCCTTTGTGCAAAACTGCTGATGTGCGAGCAGTTGCACTGAGGATTTTCTGGTACGATTTTTTTTACCTGTTCGTGGAAGATAATTGAATTTCTTTGTGATAGAGTTCTATGGACATAAGTAACCATTTTAAGTCAATTTATAATCCTTTATTTCTAAGTCTAAAATATTGTCATGTTCCAACGGTAAAAATTGGGTGCATGATTAATTCCATAAGAGATTGCTCAAATAAGCTTTTTATAAATGATTTCTGTTGCAGTTTTATTTCCACTCTTAATAGACAGTTCTTGCTTCATGTTTTATTGTTTTCCAGCTAGTTCTCCATATCTGCATTTTTGCTTTGCTTTTCCCTTACAAGCTGTGATTTTTATCTCCCTTTTTTTGTCAGCCTTGCAAATCTGGTAACAACAGTGTCCTTTCCTCTAAGTGTCAAACTGAGAAACTAAACTGTCTCTTGTAAGGTCAAAAATTATTTATAAAATCATGAATAACAGCAGGTTGTTCATTTTAAGCATTAATACTTATAACAAGACCTGGAATTTTATGTTCCTGAAAATTACATTTATTTCTTCCATCCATACGGTAAGTATATAGGGTCTAGAATGAATTGCTTGGAAATGTGGTGTAAGCACATTCAATCAAGGCTTTCAAGAGAGTGTTAGATGATTATTTAAAAGGAAACAATGTGTACAATTAAAGAGAAAAGGCAGAAGAATGGCACCAATTAACTATGGTCATTTGGACATCTAGAACAGACACAATGGGCCAAATGCCACCCTCTGCATTATAACAATTCTATGATTTTTGTGAAGAGGGTTCTAAATCTCTACATCCTTTGTGTATAGAAGCATTTCCTAATTACATTCATAGTCATACATATACAGCATGGAAACAGACCTTTCAGTCCACTCGTCCACGCCGACAAGATAGCCTAAGTAAATCTAGTCCCATTTGTTAGCATTTGGCCCATGTCCCTCTAAACCCTTCCTATTCATATATACCCATCCAGATGCCTTTTAAATGTTGTAATTGTACTAGCCTCCACCACTTTCTCTGGCAGCTTATTCCATACATGCACCACCCTATGCATGAAAAAGTTGCCCCTCAAGTCCCTTTTAAATATTTCACCTCTCACTTTAAACCTATGCCCTCTGTTTTGGACTCCCCCACCCTGGGGAAAAGACCTTGTCTATTTAATCTATCCATGCCGTCATGATTTTATAAACCTCTATAACGTCACCCCTTGGCCTCCAAAGCTCCAGGAAAAAAAAACTCTGGTCTATTCAGCCCCCTCCAATCCTGGCAATATCCTTGTAAATCTTTTCTAAACCCTTTCAAGTTTCAAAACAGCCTTCTTATAGGAGAAAGACCAGAATTGCACGCAGTATTCCAAAAGTGGCTGAACCAATGTCCAGTCCAGCCACAATGTGGTCTCCTCTACATTGGGAAAACGAAGCATAGACTGGATGACCGCTTTGCAGAACATCTGCATTCTGCCCACAAAAAAAAAAGACCCTGAGCTTCCAGTTGCCTGTCACTTTAACACAGTACCTGTTCCCTGGCCAACATCTCTGTCTCAGGCTTGCTGCACTGTTCCAGCAAAGGTCAGCGCAAGCTGGAAGAACAACACCTCATTTTCCGTTTGGGGACTCTGCAGCCCTCTGGACCCAATATCGAGTTCAATAATTTTAGGGCCTAAACTCTCTCGTGTCCTAGCCCCCAAATGCACACCCTAGGCTTTGTTATCACATAGTCTTCCATTACACACTACCTATTGATAAGTCACTAACAGTCTCCATTAACAGCTATTCACCCTCCTAGCCAATCGTTATCAACTCCTCTGTCTATGCAACTGTTCTTCTCACTCTTTTGGACTCTCTCCCAAGCCATTGTTTACTCCTTACCCCACCCCACCCCTCCATCTTCTGCATATAAACCAGCATTTTCCTAGCTACTATAAATTCTGAGGAAGCGTCACCAGATCCGAAATGTTAACTCTGATTTTTCTTCACAGATGCTGCCCGTCCTGCTGAGCTTTTCCAGCAACTTCTGTTTTTAAATTCTGTCCTTCAGGATTCCCTCCAACAACCTGTCCACCACCGATGGTTTTCTGAAAAAGGGTCTAGGCCCGAAACATCAGCTTTCCTGCTCGTCTGATGCTGCTTGGCCTGCTGTGTTCATCCAGCTCTGCACCTTGTTATCTCTGTCTACCACCGATGTCAGGCTCACCAGTCTACAGTTCCCTGGCTTTTCCTTACCACCTTTCTTAAGTAGTGGCATCATGTTAGCCAATCACCAGTCTTCCGACACGTTGCCTGAGGCTATCAATGATACATGTATCTCAGCAAGGGGACCAGCAATCACTTCCCTAGTTTCCCACAGAGTTCTAGGATACACCTGATCAGGTCCTGGGGATTTATCCACCTTTATGCGTTTTAAGATGCTCAACACCACCACCTCAGTAATGTGGACATTTTTCAAGAGGTCTCTATTTATTTCCCCACATTCACTATCTTCCAAATCCTTCTCCACAGTAAACACTACTGCAAAATATTTGTTTAGTATCTTCCCCCATATTCTGTGGTTCCACACATGGGTGGCCTTGCCTCACTCAGCGCATATACTGAACACAAGGATTGTAGGTCAGCCCACAGCAAAACCCCAAAACAAAGTTGACCCTTGGCCAAACGGTTAAAATTTTCTTCAAGATCTAGGCTGGCAAGCCATTATAGTTACGGCCGGTATGTGGACTCGAGGCAGCAAATGAGTCCCACTAGATCTAAGCTGAATAAGAGAACTTCATAGGCCGGTATCCAGGAGAGTGCACACCATGGAAAGTCCACTTACATCTGGAGTGTTCCGGGCATAAGAGGTGAGATACTATGTGTTACACGCCGCCCATATCAGAGGCAGAGTTGGAAGAACCTGATCCGGTGATAAAACACCCCAGGAGGAGCTACAAAAAAAAGAGAACCAGCCTATGTCCTCAGATTGGTGGGGGTGGGGGGAGGGGGGAGGGGGGAGGAGGGGAGCTGTAGTGATTGTAACAAGGTCAGCCAAGTGGACCTCAGAATACGAGTGCCCTGATTGGGGGCTGTTAATCTGTTCCAATCAGGGAGCCTTGGCTGACAAATACAAACAGGAGTGGCAGACATCCTTTACACTCGGAGCTGGCTCTGAGGGAACTAGATCAGTGTCAAGGATTCTCCATGTGTAAATAAAGGGTGACTTGGTGATAGGATACCAACCTCTGTGGAGTTATTTCAACCAGCCCTTGCAAATTTTTTTAACACCAGAAAGGGCGTCCAAAGTGAAAAGGTCAGCACATACTCTCCACACACCTCTCCGCTTCTTGCTTCATCAAATTCCTCAACTGATGAAATGCTACATTGATATTTCACTTTCAGAATTTAGCAGAACAAAGACCTCTTCAAAGATAATGCAGCCATTAAAAACAGTTCTAGCTGACATTTACAAAAGCAACCTGGGTGAGCAGAAGTAACAAAGTACTGTGAGGTAATAGCTGGATGTAAAGTATAACTGGGTCACTGCAATGTTTTGCAGGGCTGAAGTATAACCTGTTGAGAACACTGCCTCATGTGTCTCTCTGACCCAGGTCAGGCACATTACTAATCTAAAGCCTTGATCATATTTGCATCTATATGTAAAAGTGAACTTTAGCTCTGAGATATCCGCATTAATTGGGTGGTGCTTCCTTTCTAGGACATATTATCAGAGCTGAAAACTGTTCAGTATTGATACACTGAACTGTCTCAGATTATATTAAAGCATAACTTAGTCAGGAAACTTAGGATTGCTTTGCATCTTGGGTCCAAACTTCTCCCACTATTTTAACCAAGGTCAACTAAAATGAATGGGTTATATCTGTTTACAATGACTTGAGGAGAAAGCTGGCTAGTTGGGTGTATTAAACACTCATATCAGTTTGGCCGGTCATTCTTTCCCCTTTTAACATTGAGTTCAGGCCTGCAATTAATTTTTTATACAAAAGCAACAGAACCAACAGAGCTTGGAATTCTTTTTCTATTCTGACTCCCATTTCATTCAGGCAGATTTGGGTTTGGATGTCCTCCCTTTCCGTGTTCTATTAATTTACCCAGGCTGTACTTGAACCATTTTCTCTTGAAGACTACCTATTGTTGCATTACATTTCTGTGTGCCAGTTTTTGACTGCAATTTACTTATGCTTTCTCAATTTATTGAAATTAGCTCCTCTCCTTTTAAGTATTTTATTCTAGAATGCCCCTTGTCTTTTTCCATAACTAATCTAAACATTAAGTACTATAGTCTCTTGTAGGGACTTTTTTTTTTTAACCTGACATTGTCTACTTGACCCAATTAATGCCCAGGACCACATCCATCAATACCTTCTTGTTTGTTGGACGCAATGCATGCTAATCAAAAGATTTCTCCTTCAAAAAATCTTCACTCTCTGTCCTTAGCACAGTCACTGCACCACTCAATATGTAGGTTGTTAAGGATCTCCCAGTATTGCTACATTATAGTTTTTTGAGTGTGAACGGTTTCTTTGTAAATTTGACACCTCTATCTCTTTCCCACCAATCCGTGGCTCTTAAATAATCCAAGGTAGAAGTTAAACTGCAAACCATCTAATTGTGAAAAGGAGGTGAAGGGGGGGAAAAAATCCAAACAAAGCAGGGAAATTGGTAAATATATATATAATAATAAAGAATTGTGGAAGACTTGGCTGGAAAGTGGAGGTAATTGGGACAAGGAACTGGAATTCTGAGAGAGGGACACTTTCCTTGCTCAATGTATAAGATGCCTAACGAGTGGATTCCTACAGGATCTAGTAATGGAGAATAAACCAGATAAAATGTAGCAAGGTAAAGTCTGGTCTACAGAGCCCATAATATATGCACTTTAACATAATATTTCAGAAAGGCAGGAGTATGACAAAGACCCAGGATAATGTATTGGACAAAAACTAATTTTCAATGGCTGAGCATTGAACTTGGGGAAAATAAAGTGGACAATAATACTGGCAAAGCATCAAGCAGAACAACAGTGGAAAATACTTAAAATGGCGCTCAGTAGAGTGGAGGCAAAATACATTCTACTGAAAAACAAGCATAAGCTAAACACTAATGAGTTACCATGGATTATCAAAGACAGATGGAAAAGGATTGAGGAAGAGGAACAAGGTGTACACTGGATACAAGGACAACAGTGAAGAGCATGGCAAGGGAGAACAAGAGTTAACCATGAAATTAGCTTAGATGGACTGTAAAAGAGGACTTTAATAGGGAACCACACAATTAAGATTAGAGAACTCGGGACACGGTTTAGAATGGATAGCAAGTTTCCTTCATGATAGAGTAGGAGTAAAGGGTAGTTATTCTGTGGTAGAACGTTGCAAGTGAGATTTCAAAAGGATTAGTGCTGGGGTTACTGTTGTTCACAACTTATATTGGCAATTAAGATTTCAGAATCAAAAACACAATTTCTAAATTTAGAGATTAAATCAATTTCAGGGTGAAGTCAATAGGAATGCAACAAATTACAATATATTAAGTTTTCAGAATGGGTACATAATTAACAAATTAATTTCAATATGAATAATGAGATGTAGCAAGAAAAATGCAACTTCCTCCTATTACTTAGGGGAAAAAAAAGAGACTAAATGGGGTAGAAAAGTGAAAACATTCCGGAATGCAAATGCACAAATTGCTCACTGGCTGGCCTCCCACAAGTATAGTTTTTAGAAATCAAAGGCCAACCAAAACTTTGCTTATGTACTAACTTGCATCAAAATTGCTTTCACCCATCAATCCTATGCTTATTGACTTGCCCTGCCTCTTGGGTAAGCAGAATTTTGATTTCAAAATCCTCTTTTTTTTTTGTCAAGTGACTCTAGTGCCTCAACCCTCCCTATCTCTATAAAAGACTACAAACACTGTGAGAAAGCATCACCAGGGACAAGTTAACAAGATCGTATCGAGCATTTCAGTGTTTGTTTCTGGGTACTAGTGAGATGCAACTTATAACGTCAGCAGTAGCATTTTGAATGTCCTTAAGATAGAAGGTACCAGGCTGGCCAAGCATATGTTAGAATTGTCAAATCTAGATGTTTAGAGTTAAACACAGGAATTCCCTTAACATTAGCCTGATTTACTCAAACGTAAATCACTTGTTATCATAACAGGCTATGAGCATATCAAATAGTTAATTACAGAATCTACTACAGTTTATGGAAAAGATACGGAGAGGTTCTTACCTACTACCAGAGCTGAACACTCTACTTTCTCTTTCCCCAACATGATTTCTAATGTCTCCACCTGCTCCATTGTTTTTGAACTATGCTTGAATCTGTTATCTCCACAGTCTTCACGCTCTGCTGCAGGCATTTTCTTTAAGCTGAAGAAATGGATCATAGGTCAAATATGTCCAATTACAAACTACAAGAAATTGTATCAAAAGAAATAAGTAATCTAAACTTGCCTGTAATCACATTCACTATACAGGCTATTCATATTTTACTATGACATTAGTAGCCATCTAAAGAGGGTATCAACGTTTTGTAAACTATAAGAAGATTAGTCACTAAACTTTACCAATGCCTCCAGTTGAAATTTTGGGACTTCTCCTCAAATTTCAAAATCCTAACAAAGAATTAGGAAAAAGGAAGCATAAAGATTGAATCATTACTGTAAGAATTATCTCATTGAAATATGTAGGATGCTTAAGGGGCTTGATAAGGTAAATGCTAAGAGGATGTTTCCCCTCATGGGAGAGTCTAGGAACAGAGGGCATAGGCTCCAAATAAAGGAGCACCAGTTTAATACTGAGATGAGGAGGAATTTCTTCTCTGTGTTGTGAGTCTTTGAAACTCCTTAATATAGACAGGTGTAGTAGGGGCAGAGTCCTTGTGTATATTCGAGTCTGAGGTGGGTAGATTCTTGATCAATGTGGGGAATCAAAGGTCAGGGGAAAGGACAGGAAATTGTGTTTGAGGATTGTCAGAGCAGCCATGATTCAGTTGAAAGGACGATCAGGCTCAAGGGGCCAAATGACCTTCTCCTGGTCCTATTTCTTATGGTCTTGTCTGTTCTTGCATTTCTCTACAAACTAATCTGTGTCTCCTAACAGATTTGATATTCCTCAAGAATCTTGTCCAGGCACATTCTATGTTCACACTTTCAAAGTCAATGAGATTCTACTATTCCTCCGCTACACATCATCACAATGCTTCGGTTATTTAGTTCTTCACTTATGTGACCCTGGCAGTGTATCTGTGATTTCACCATTTCACACTGGAAAAGCAGAATACTTTGTGATGTGTATTCTATACTATTTCCTCTTGCAAGATGTAGTAAGTTAGGAAAAGGCTAGCATTTGAGGAATGAATGACAACTAGCAAGGGAGAACTGAATTAAAGATGCGGTGATATCGCAAAGTGAAGGTGGAAGAATGGACTTTAAGTTTGTGCATTAAGTAAGTTGATTTAAGGGAAATAAATGGTCATTCTATAAAATCTTAATTCAATACCCCTGTTATTGGAATACTTTCTGAATTTAGGTTTTTTTTAAACAAAAGATGGTGCTATGCTTTTTAATATTTATGATGTGGAGATGCTAGTGTTAGATTGGGGAGGACAAAGTCAAAAGTCAGTTGACACCAGGTTATAGTCCAACAGGTTTATTTGAAATCATAAGCTTTTGGAGCGCTGCTCCTTCATCAGGTGAAGTCACTCCTGACTTTTAAGATTTAGCCACTGCAGGACCAGATAAGCAGCAGTAAAAATAAAGATGGCCATTGGAAATGAGGGGTTGCAGAGAGTCAACAGTTCAGGCCTGTCTGAGGTAGACCAGAAAGATCCTGCTAAGCTGGGAAAAACTGGAGGATCTGCTTCATGTAAAAACAAACTTTATAATTCACTGCCTGGAGCTGATGAGTTATACGAAGCAATTAATGATCAGTTCATTGGTAGGTGTTATGATAAGGCAAAGATGATCTTTCATAGGCTGAGCTGTCAGAGTGGAGTTCGTTATGGCTTCACCATCCACTGGAGCTTTTCATAAAGACTTCTTGGGGGACATCAACAAACTGTTAAAAGATGATAAAATGTGAAATAATTGTAGCTGGACAACATCTACATGTATTAAATGTAGTAACCGGGATGCAGAAAGCAAATATGCTGTGTGGAGTGTGGTCTGTTGTAGCCACTGTAAAGCTATCTTATATTTCAAAACCTTTACAAGTTTACAAGCAAAAGAACAATGGACTTTCCAGTGCAAAAAAAATCTGATTCCTGAGACGCGCCCAGAGATTGTAACAAGACATAACCGAACAAAAATCATGTGAGCACCAACAGGGAGTGTACTAGAGACCTGCAAAAATACAAGCACATATATGGATACAAGCTGCCAGACAGACCACAGTGAAGATTCAGAGTGAAAGAACTTTGAAAAAGAAAAGGAGGGTTCTACATTGTGAAAATACATGTTGTGTGGATAAAGTAAAACGGAAGCCTCTATTAATATCACATGAAAATTGGCAAACACACATTCCAGATCAAAGTCAACATGGAGCCAATGGAAATATCGACCAGTCAGAATACTGAAGGATTATTACCTGCATCATTTAATGTCAATGGTAAACCTACAACAACAAAACTGATTGCATATAATGTGTCACCCATCCCTTACATTGGTAAATTGACAAATGCATCTATTGGCAATTCTGCGTGGCAATCGCAAGTATTTTACCTGCTGAACATAAATAGACTAGTACAAGCAGGACAACCAGCATGGAAGGAGTTCAACGTTTTAAACATTCATGAAATTAACAAAATACCAATTACAGGAAAAGAGGCCAGAATGCATTTACACAAAAATTCCTGGACAGATTCAATGCCATTGGAACCTTCAAAGGTGATACTGTTTTGCACCTCAGAAGATGCAGTTCAATCAATCCTCCCAGAAAGTGTAGTGTTCACCAATAACTCAAGTGTGAGAGAACTGAATGGTATGGAACACAATAGTGTTATTGTTGTGTATTATCTGTCATGCTGCAGATGGGTGCAGTTCCAAAGAAAGATGGCATAATCAGGACATGTTTGGTCCCAAGACATATTAATCTTTCTCCAAATAAATGACCATTCAAGATTCCAACATTAGTAGAACTGAATCCCACATTCACAGGAGGTAAATTCATTTCCAAGCTTGATATTAAGTATACTTTTTAGTCAGTACTTGACAGAGGAATCTCAAAAAATTCATTCTTTCAGAACACTGTTTGGATGGTATTGCCTCCAGAGATAACCATTCAGTCCATTCTTCAGTCAGGATCTGTTCCAGCAGTGCATGGAAAAATTAGTTCCTGAATATGTGTGTGTGTGTGTGTGTTACTGATGATTTTGTCATAATGGGCTAAACTAATGAAAAGCACAAACAAAATCTGCACTTGCTAATGGTGGCAGCTCATCATCATTAAGGACCTGTCTTCAAAATAAAAATAGGTGACAGCTGAACGCACCAGATCAACTTCTTTGTTTTTATTCAGATTTTGGAATTCATCCAGACCCAGTCAAAATTGAAGAAGTACAATATATACCTACGTCCCAAGACAAGGAAGACCTGCAAAGATGTGTCAGATTTTATAACTTCCTAGAACCATGTATACCATTTTTTTCCAACAAAGCATCATTATTAAGAGATTACTTAAGGAATGACATTCCATATGTTTGGCAGGGGACTATCAACACTTGTGAATCTCTCAAACAAGCTTTGTCAGCAGATACGTGCATCCTACAGTACAACAAACCAAATAAGAAGATGATCCTAGAAGTCAACGTGTCTCAAAAACAAAGCATTTTATCATGTAAGATGATTAAAAAAAATTGCATTTGCATTGAGAAGTCTATTACAAAGCACAATCCAATTATTCCAACACTTAGCATTAAATACTGGTTCTAGTATTTGGCATCACAACACCATTCAGTGTGCAAATCACTGCATACAAATCAAATCCAGTGAAAATAATTTGGTGCAAACCATTGACAAGTGCATCACCTGGACTACAATGATTTATAATAAAAGATACGACTTTGATGTCTGCTGCAAACTTAATACTAAAATGGTAAACTCAGACACCTTGAGCAGATTATAAAATCTGCATAAGAATACAGAAATTCCACTACACTTACAAGTCTACAAGTAGACAGTATAGACAGAGGATGAAGATGTGCTTAAGGATGATTTATACTTTTAGTCAACACAAATGCAACCAACTTCAGGAAGAAACACCTAATGATCTACCACTGAAGGTGGAATGTTTTCATAGAAAGATGGCCTGACGTAATCAAGAGGTGCCAAACATTATCGGATGAACTAGCTACCTCAGAACGTGTCATTGTTAAAGGAAAACAATTACTTGAACCTAACACTGTTTAGCAAGGCATATTGTCACAGTTTCATCAGGAACATATGGGCATAAACTAAGAAAGACACTTGGACAGGATACCAATGCAGTAAACAGGAATCAACAAAGGCATTGAGAAAATTGTAATGATTGGCATTACAAAGGGCCATCGGTCCATACATGGTGACAATTTTCTCCTGGTCATTGACTACTTTTCAAAATTTCCAATTGTCAGACAGTTAAAGGATACTTAGTGTGTCTTCAGTAGACACAAAATGCAATATTCAATTTACTTGATACATCCTGAAAAGATCATGTGTGAGACGGCTCCCCACCAATATCCACAGTAACAGCTGTGCTACCAACTTTCATCTCCTGTAATATTTGATTCTCTCTCTTACATTCCAGGAAGAAATCTTCCCTCAACAGAACGAATACTGAGAAGTGCGCTGCCCAACATTTGGTTCCTCACTCTTTACGTGGATATCTTCCTAACACTGTCGGCTTGAGTAGCTGACTGACCATGTACAAGCTGCTGTACTGGTATTGGAGGCTGCCCTTGACTTACTGCGCCAGCACCCGTAGGCGCAGGCTATCTCCCTTCTCTGCTGACAACCACAAGTTTGCAGTTTGTGCTTAATTGCAGGCAATATAGCAGTAACGTCAGCCTGATATTTCTGGGACCATGCACAAAAAGACAAGACATGGCAAGGCAGGAATGCTGAGAGCATCCAGGTAAACTCAATATAAGTGAGCGCTATTAGAGCAAGTGCATAGGCTGGAAATGCAGCCTCAGTGAGCTGAGTGTGTGTTCCTGAGCACACAGTGTCCTTGCAGCAGCATTGCAATGAAAGTTAGGGATGCAGCACTGAAGTGTACTGTAAGTGGATCGCAGATGTCCTATGAGAGTTCTTAGAAGCTCGCTCATGTTGGATGCCAGCGTCAATTCGATGTGGGATGCATGAAGCTGGTGCCCATACAGTGCACCCTAAATT